CTGACTAAACTGTGAACAGCTCCAGTTGACAGATGACTAACTGCTAGATGCATTACTGGGAAACAGTAAAGCAGTATTTAGAGGAAAATTTATAGCACTAAATGCCAGTATTGGAAAAAAATAAAGATATTAAATCAATGACCTCAACTTTCACCTTTAGAAACTAGGAATGAAAAGCCAATGAAACCCAAAGTAAGTAGAAGAAAGCAATAATGAATATGAAAGTGGAAATAAGCAAAATAAAAAATATTCATAAGAACACAATAGAGAAAATAATTGAAACCAAATCTGGATCTTTCAGAAGACGATCTGCAAACTTGATAAATCTCTAGTCAGAATGATCAAGAAAACGAGAGAAAAGGCACAAATTACTAATACCAGGAGTGAGAGAGAGAACATCAATACAGATTCTTCATGTATGATAAAGGTAACTTTATACCAATAAACTTAACAACTAAGATGGACAAATTCCTTGAGTCACACAAACAATAACTCAAAACCTCATTTAATACAATTCAGGCCAGGCACAGTGGCTTATGCCTGTAATCCCAGCATTTTGGGAGGCCAAGGCAGGAGGATCACTTGAGTCCAGGAATTTGAGACCAGTGTGGGCAACACAGCAAGACCCCATCTTGACAAAAAATTTAAAAAATTTAGCTGGGCATAGTAGTGCATGCCTGTAGTCCTAGCTACTCAAGAGACTGAGGTGGGAAGGTCACTTGAGCCCAGGAGTTCAAGATTACTGTGAGGTATGATCATGCCACTGCATTTCAGCCTGGGCAAAAGGGCAAGATCTTGTATCTAAAAAAAAGTTAAAAAATAAATAAACAAATAACCTGAAACATATAAAAGATCACTCAAAAGAATGGATAACCTGAATAGCCTTTTATCTGTTAAAGAAGTTGAATTTACCATTAAAAATCCTCTGAAAAAGAAAACTCCAGGCCCAGACAGCTTTACAGGTAAATTCCCAACTAACATTTAAGGAAGAAGTAATACTAATTCTACACAACATCTTCCAGAAAACTCATTCCACGAAGCCACTATTACACTGTTAGCAAAACAAGAAAAGCAAAGCACAGACCAATATCCCTCATAAATAAAGATATAAAACTTCATAACAAAATTTTAACAAACCACATCCAATAATATTTTTAAAAAATAATACAAGGTTGAGTATCCCTTATCCAAAATGCTT